ATCTAATGTTTTTTGCAGCTATACCTATAAAAGACATGTTTTTCTCTGCCTTTTATAATTTATTCTCTTTATCATCTGAAATTGACTGAATTTTTCATTGGAACCATTAAAATGCATAAAAGCAAATCATAATGCTGAATATAAAACCTTCTTTTCACTTCTCCTCACCGATGTTGGACACAACATACAAAACATGTTCTTCAAATACTTGGAGGACAAGTAACTCTTCATTACTGTGTACACTAAAGTGTGTGTATGTTTGTGTCCATGTCATAGTGAATAGTTGAAACAACCAAACAGTGTGTTTCCTCTGTTTCAGGGCTGCCTCGAAGAATAATGGATGAGACTCATCACTAGCACTTGATGAATATTTTGAGTGACTGTTCAAGCTGAATAATGGAGGGCAGCAATGATGTGTCTGGACCCACGACACAGAGTGACACGTGCAGTGCTGAGGTCGGAGGAAGAGAAGTCAGTGGTAAAGTGGACGACGGAGCGATGCCACTCGCTCCCAGTGACTCCTGTGACAACAACATGAACAAAGGAGGCCTCTCTAACCTGGTGGAGCCTCCTGCACCGTCGGTGGTGACTCCCACCGCTGAATCTCCAGGAGGTGTGTCGCTGAAAGTTTCCACGACTGTGCTGCACCCAGTGTGTCTGGGAGAGAGTCCACTGATGCTGCCCATCCACCTCCAGATGGCCGGAGCAGCCGGGCCCCAGCTCAGCCAAATGGGGGCAGCACCGTACTTGATAACAAGCCAAAGTCCCGTTTCACTTCCCCTGGTCCTGGATCAGCAGGTCATCCAGCACATGAGTCCCTCTGTCATTCCTCAGACCGCTAACTGTCCACAGCTGCCACTCCATAATGGCGTCCTATGTCAGAATCCTTTGACATTTGGTTTACCTCCAGCTGTTGACCAGAAGTCAGCAGGACAGACACAGGATGCTAACCTGCTCTCTCTCCTCCAGAATCCAGCTTTTGCTGCCATCTTACAGGACCTCTTCCCCTCGCAGGCCGGTTCATCCACCTGTCAGTCACCAGGCTCTACCTTCTTCCCCCTCCCTCCGCTCCCTCCTCCCTACACCTCCCCTCTGGCCCCATTGGTCCCTCCTGCCACACTTCTTGTCCCCTACCCCGTCATCATCCCCCTGCCAGTGCCTCTGCCCATCCCTCTCCCCGTCCCCATCCCCGTCCCTCAGACTGAGGATTTAAAGGGGAACATGCCAAAACCAGTTTGCACAGAGAGTAAAAGTACTCAGACTTCTCCAAAAGACACTACCCCTCCTATGCTGTCGTCAAGCAGATGCGTGCCCCTGTTTCAGCCACAAAATGTGTCCTTGTCCTCACTTCCTGTAGACGAAGGACAGGTATTAGATCTGTCTGTCAGGGCATGTCCAGTTGAGCCAAAACAGGAATACCCCAGCCTGCAGCAGGACAGTGTGCTTGACTTGTCAGTGCCTGGTGTGAGGAAAAAGTGCGTTCAGTCGTGCAACTCCAGTGGCTCACTAGGACGGGACAGAGAATTAGCTTTCCAGTCCAGTCACGATACAAGTGGTACCTCACTGTCTGTGGGCGTTGAATGCACGCAGAGTTTAGATTCCAAACTCCTGGGCAGTCTGGCCTCACTGGAGTTCAGCCGGCAACACAAGTGGCTGGTCGACAGCAGCTCTGGTGGGTCTGGCTCTCTGGGTCAGGAGGCGTCGCTCAGCGGGGCCGGAAACCTCGAGATCGTCAGCACCTCGCAGACGGCCAAGGTCATCGTCTCTGTGAAGGACGCCATCCCCGCCATCCTGTGCGGGAAGATAAAAGGTCTCTCAGGAGTCTCCACCAAGAACTTCTCCATCAAACGAGACGGCAGCAAGGGGGCGTCTCTGCAGCAGCTCTATGGAGTGCCGTCGGCGTCCCAGGGAGAGCAGCACGACCCCAACGACCCGCTCAAAAAGGTCCCTAAAAACAGAGCTATCAAATTGAAGAAGGTCAGCTCGCAGGAGATCCACTTCCTTCCCATCAAGAAGCAGAGACTGGCGGCACTGCTCCCCAGGAAGTGAGAGCGCTCTGCGGAGGGGGGGGATTCATTGCCTTGCCATTCTCTGGTGATCCCTCCGGAGCGAGTAACATAAAACACATGCAGGGACATTCTGTAATCAAACTCATACACTTATATGTCCAATCAAAGCTCAGAGTTTGGCTGTTTCTGAAGGTGCGGCTCGTGAATGTCTGACAGTGTGACACAGAGGTTCCAGAGAAAACTGCTGTGTCGTTTTGTAATGCACTACTCTACAGTGTTCCACTAAACCAGAAACCTTTTTTCCCTGTATGGCAGCTTAATGGGCTCTCTGCATAGCTTTGGAGTTTCTCTTTATAAATCAGAGATGTGAAAGAACAGTTCTGACTTTATAATTACATCAAAGACACATGGGTTCCATTTTTCCATTTCGCCTCATGGTTTGTCTCCATGTGTCATTTTACTTTAAGTGCACTGACGTTCTTGCCGCTCGGAGCAGAGCGGAATCCACTGGCAGGACGTGACTGAGACTGTTAAACTGTGCGCAATCCTCGGAAATTGTCAAAGTAATCATCAGTAGTTCGGCAGAGCGATTTGGTCCTCCCTGATTGGCTGTTTTTTTTAGCATGACAGGTTAATAAGGACTTGGAGAGGCCAAGTTAAAATGAGCGCTGGCAACTGTTGCAACAAAACACATTCTTACTTTGTTAAACAGCAGGGAAAAAAGGGATGTCTTAATTGTTTTCACATTTAAATAACTGCCCAAATATGAGGAAAATGTTTCTGGAAAGTTGGTTTTTTCCAGTTCCTGGATGAATTTGTCTCACAGCAAGCGTATAAAGCACTGTAATCCCCTGCTCTTTCCACTAACTTATTACGTGAATCTAAGTGAAGCTTGTAGACTGATTAAACCAATTTAAAATGTGAAGGGGAGATGAAGTAGAACAGAACAGAAAAAGAACAGAAGAAATGATGTTAAGAGAAAATACTGTTCATATATTTGTGAAAGTGTGTGTTAGATAGAGTACTGGAGAGACTCCACCCCCCCTTTTTTAACATGCTGGTGTAAAACTTTTATTCCAAGTAGTTAAGTGTCATTTTGATTGATTTGTGCAGCACAGTGTTGTTGTTTTTAAAAAACTGTCCCATGATAATGATCAGAGTAGTGAATGTGGAGCGTGTTGTTGTGTGTCCGTTGATTTTTCCTACTGAGTGCACTTTGTCATAGTTTAGTTTGAAAAGTTACAGGGTGTCCAACCTTTTCTGCTCAGACTGTTGCCCCTTTGTGATTTACAGCATTTATGAAAATCTGTGATTTACAGGCCAGAAACTAATAACAGCCATATGCAGACTGTCTGCATGAAGAGAGAGAGGAGGTGGAAAAATACATGAAGCTCCACTTTAAACCACTTCTTATTTATGTTGATGTAACTTAGGAGGAACAGTGCATCTTTCTTTGACTAATGTCAAAGCTCTTTTTCTCACCGTGAACTAGTTTTAAAATGCTGTACAGGACTTCACCTTAATTTATTGTTTGTAAAACCTTTATTTATACAGCATGTGTAAATACCTGATGGTCAGTTAGGAGACAAAGCGTGAGAGGATGTAAGTGTCTCCTGCAACAGCTGTTGTTTCAGTGCAGATGTTGGTGAAGAAGCTGTTGGGCTATTGGCAGTTCAATGTTTGCTCACTGTACAGTTTGTGTGCTTTTTTATATTGAAGTGAACTAAAATGTCCAAGGTCTACATTTCCATGTCTGCCTTTTCTTCAAGACGTTTTCTACCTGAAGTTTGGAATCAAGAGAAAGGTTTCGTTATGACAGAAGTCACTCGTGGTGTTCAGATAAGAATCAGATGTAAAAAGACAAAATGTTTGTATTCACCTGGTTTCACCTTCCTATGAAAGAGCCGGACGGGAGGAGGCTCCTCGCAGTGAGTGAACGTCTCAGCAGCCTCCAGGAGAGTGCTTTAAAAAGTGTGTATGGTCCAGTGCTGCGGAGAAAATGTCTGGATGCTGTGTTAAAACCAAGGCATGTTTACAGTGAATTCACCAGACACACACACTGCATGAAGTGCCAGTGACGTAACACGAGCTTCAAGCATGAAGAGGAGGTGCAAATGACTCGTATTCATGCTGCCAATAATAATGTGTTTTCTTCACCAGAAAACGCTCCATCACATTCACTTTGTTGTTCAGAGTGAGAAAACACACACCCCCCTTCTTCATATCTGTGTGATCGAACAGAATCATTTCCCTCAACAACTCAAGTATTCTCAGACTGTTATGACAGTCATGTTACAGTCGTCATTATTCTTGTCGTAAACACAAGCAGGTCTGGTTTATCTCTCACGCCTGAGAGGTAAAGTTTCAAAACAAACGTCACACCGGCTGACGTGAGGCGTTCAGGGATGGAAGTGCTGAGTTCTTCTGACTCAATGTAGCTCTGTTCTTACTGTGCAAAGCTTGTGTGCTTTTTATGAGATGGACAACTGGTTTCCTGAGTGAAGTTTTGTTGGTAACACTGGTATAAAATAAAAAGAATTCATCAACTTTGTTCCCCTCTTTTTAAAAAGCATCCTTAACTCAGTCGATCACACACCTCCACCAAGGCCCGACACTACCAAACTCCATTTAAATTCACTAAATCCACATTTGTACTTGGATCTGCACCAAATTGCACACACCCACATATCAGTCCCCTAGATGTCTGATCTCTTGTCATCAAAGTCCATAAATTATTCTCTGAGAAATGGATGAAAATGTGGAAAAAGAAAGGGGAAAAAAATTCTTGGATTCATCCCCAGTTTTGGATCTGCACAAAACTTGAATGGGTTTTCCCCTTGGTCATGCTCCACCCTCATGGAAATCAGTTGAGTAGTTTGTGTGTAATCTTGTTGTTGAATTAAAACCAAACTTCAGCGTGATAACAACAAACAAAAACAGACACCATTGTTACAAAATACATTTTGTGTGTATTGACTTTTTAGTTAAGTTTAAGTCCAATCTATCAACATAGATGAGACTGCAATTATGACCTAACTGCAGCCAGCCACCAGGGGGCGATCCAAATGATTCAGCAGTGACATGGAAATCCATCAAGTAGTTTTTGTGTCATCCTGCCAACAAACAAATGTAGCTGAAAACAAAAATACAACGTTCATGCTTCGTTTTTTGATAGATTTATAAAAAAGAAAGGAAAATACACAACATCATAAACACATATTGTTTATCTGGTGTGACAATGGACATGTGACTTTTTGCAACACATATTTTTCAAGTACTTTTAAAGACGATGCGAGAGGAGGAGATCAAAAGCACTTCCATCCTGTGTTTGAATATCATATGGCACAAGGGAATTACAGGAAAATTCTGTTCAGTATATTATTAGAAACATTGTGCTACAAAAAGCTTGTACTAACAAAGACCACGTAAACCTGAGAGATGTCGTAGGTAAAGCAAGGCAGACTCTAGTACTGGGTTGAGTATCTGGACTAAAAGCACTACGATAAGTATTAGAAAGCAGAATGAAATCCACTGTGAAATAAATTCACCCCCCCGCCCCACCCCCCCCCCTTTATCTTCACATTTCTAACTTATGTATATGATTTCTTTAAAATATTACGTTTCTACAAAATTTACATTCTGTCGCTGATATTCATGGTTAAACCCATAAAACTGTACACATCTGTTTTCATTGCTAACAGTGATTGTAACGGTCAAAAGTGACGATGCGGAGGCCGCAGGCAGACCAATGAGCTTAAATGATCGTGACTGATCAAAAGAATATGATATAAGAACTTAACATAGAAAGCCCTTAGAAATGTCGGGTTTTCACTTCCTCAGCAAGCTGTCTGTTGAAATTGATACTCCAGAGAGCTCGGGAACGGCCCAGAGACCAGTGGGAGGTGACGTAGGGCCCGCTAAGACACAATAATACATGACGCCAGCGCAGGGCAGGTGACGCTTCGTGGTGCTCGTGGAAAACAGTGAGGTTCAACTTTAAAAAAACACAAGAATACAACATATGAATACGTCTGTCTAGCACTGTGTGAAAGAGGTGGAATGCACTGTCGTGAGCATTTGTCAGGAAGGGAGATACACCCATACTGTAGGCATACAGGTGAGACAACAGCTATGCAACAGCACAGAGACAGAGAGCGTCCAAATTCTCTAAAAAAGAGTCGGGAAGAACGTGTGAGGGATTCTTTTTCAGTTTACCAACTCGTCCCGGAAATCCGTTGACTGGAAATTCAACAGTAATAAAAACATTGTATACGAAAAAACATTCTCCATCTTTGGGGGATCCAAAACCAGGATCAAAAGATTTCATCGCTGTAAAAAAAAAGAAAAAACATGTCCACGTGTGCACATGTGCTATTCAATGTAAACACTACAGGGATTATTTTCCTTTGGGATTTCATTACGTCAGTGGCGTCTATTAGACTTGAACAGCTTCTCGCTCACTGATGAGGGGATGAGGTAACGTGTCAGCACGGCACACTTTCTCCATTCTGGAAGTCTGGACCAAGGTGTGACATGTATTCAGTCTCGGGAGGTGGAGTCTGGAGTAACGTGGTCCCTGCGTGCCACATGAGTCAGTGTCTAAGCGCCGGCTCCTTCGAGGCTTATTGCCCATGGGTCTGGCAGGATCAGGACTGTCCTGCTTCCTGTTAAACTTTGCCTTGTTTCAGCCGCTCTATGTGGTGACATAACTTCAGTGCAGGCCCGAGTTTTAGACCCATGTACTTCATGATCATGTCGCTCCGTAGCAGCATCAGGGCTTTTCCATCGATCTCCTGCAGAAACAGAGTGGGGAGATAAATGAATCCACAGCAGCCACTGATCCGAACAGACTGCATCAATACTTCTACCGTTTCATATAAAAACAGCCTTTTCAAACTTAATCTCTGTCCACGTGAGCGTTCTGAAGCATCTCTAGCAGAGTTGATGCATTATCAAATGAAAATGTATTTTTGTGGATGTAGCCTGAGTAGAGCTCATACCTCCACCGAGGCTCAACAGTCTCGGCCAGATATCAGTCTTTTAAATGTGCCTGATTGTTCTCATCGCTATCTCTCTCAATAAACTCTCTGGGAAAACTGTGAAAGTGTTCTGAAAAAGTCTGATCAAATAATGTTGAAGACGTGAAAGAAAATTCCTGGATCTGCCCCTGGATGCGGGTCTACGCCAAGATTTTATGGGTTTTTCCCTGACCAAATTTCATGGAAATTCATGTTTCATACAATATTGCTCACAATCAAATAAACCAAAGGAACAAATGAACATAACCTCCTCTGCAGAGAAAAACCTGAGCTTCTCCACTGTCTGCAGGAGTGCATGCGTGTGTGTGTCTGTTCATCTCTGTCGAGCCTGCGTCTGGGACAGTTTTTACCGTGAGCCTAACACCGTGGTGATCAACAGCAGTTTTATGATCATTTCAATTTCACATGGTAACACTAACCATTGAGAATTTTACTGTGGTTAATCGAGAAACTGGTAACCGTTTCATCTCTAATATGAAGTTTATACAATTGCTCAAGAGGAATACTATAAAAAATAGCTGCCAGTACAAAATCTCAGAATCAATACTGGCTTCTATTGCTGTATAAGTAGAAACCACATCAGTTAATGTGATGCAGCCCCACACCCTGTCAGTGGATTGGTCTTTGTGAGGCCACACCCTCTTTATTGAAGTCTGGTTCTATCGATTTCTTCACAGAGAATCTTGTTTTTCTTCCTCAAACACTGGAGCTCTATCTGCAGCTCACACAGACGTACATCATCAGCATTAAAGTGTCTGGTGGCAGCTGTAGTTCCAATGAAGGATGCTTGAAGAAATGGAGATTGACTCTTCATCAGCACTGTCATTGACGTGCATGACAGCAGCTGCAGCTCCACAGCTTAAAGAAACAGAGGCTGACTCTCCCTCACCAGTTGTGTCAATTGAAAACTCATCTGAGCTTGTTTCCAGTGCTTTGAAAGGATGTTTAAGGGACTAATTCACTGGGACTAATTCTTCATCATTCAAGAGGTTGAAAAACACCATCCTATCTTCATATTCAAGCTCATCCTGTTTTCCTGGGACTCTCTGAACTGCATCTTCTAAATTCCACTCAGGACATTCCCTTTACACTAGTTGTCTTCTGTGTCCTCAATCTCCACCTTTAATCATAAAAAATAAAATAGCTGTATTTTCCAGACAACAGTAGGAGATCTTCTGGCTCAATAAAGTGATCATTCATTCATTTTATGGATTTTTAACTCCACCATCTCAGCTTCAGCTGCACTTAAACACTTAATGATTCGGCAGCGAGCCCATTATCAGGTAAGCGCAGATACTGCTGTAGAGAAAAAATACTTATATACTTATGAAAAAATACATTTGACAATTGACATTCTCATTGTGGAAGATATTCTTGCAGGAAAATGTTTCCAAATACTTCAAATGTGGTAATGTAGACTTGTGCTTTCCTCTGATGGGAGGTAAACAGGGTGTTTCCTGCATAGAGGATTGTGAGGCGGACGCTTCCACCCAATTTCGTGCCACCAAACATTACAGTGGAAACTGGACATAGTGATCATGGGTAAAGTAATCAAAGAATCTTATTTCTGATATTTTTTTGGCCACTGAAAATCTGATCAGTTAATCTTTGAGTCCCAGAACCACTGGTCAAAATCAGAAAAATGACAGATACAATGTAAAACTGATCTTTATAAAAACATGCTGAATTCACATTTATGTTCCTGGATAAACGGGACGTTGCTTCTTCTGCAACAATGAAGTTACTCCTCTACTATCTGCAGGAGTTAGTGTGTATGTGTGTGTCTGTGTCACATAAACTGATAACCATATTTATCTTTATCTTTAATCCGGATCGTTCCCATCACTTTATCCCTGATGTCCTGACTGTGCGCGTCACTTCACGTCTCGTGTTGTGTAGCAGGTATAAACATGTGTCTCATAAACTCTAAAGTGAATCAAACAACCACAAACACACAACAAACAAGCGCAAAAAACAAGTTGTGCTGTTGAGTGAACTCACATGTTTCCTGAACAGCTCAGCATGTGGTGCTAATGCTGTGGGGTCAGCATCCCTGACGAACTGCATCACCTCCTCAATGGTCCAGGAGGAGGGGTTTTTACTGGGCAGCTGCTGACTCTCGCGATCAGACGCTGCAGCCTCAGGACCGGTGGTGGAGCTGGCTGCTGCCAAAGAACAGCATACACATTGATGATCCGAGGTAGAAGCAAGCATGCACATAAATTACATCTGCTTCCACTGATCACTACTGTACCTTCAACACGTCTGAGAGGCTGTGTGGAGCCGAGCTCTGCGGGGTTAGACGAGAGGCGGCGCATGGGTGTGCTGTTGCCTGGATGGTAGAGGCTGCTGGCCTGAGAGTGGTACTCTGAAGAACTCCGCACTGTTTGAGGACGAGGAGTCATGGAGTTGGAGGCTGAGTCCATGTAGCGCTGCTCCTTTATTAGGCCATTCTCCTCGTGAGGCAGAGTCTCTGCTGAAGAGACGAAAGCACAAAAGACATTCAAATGTGATTCTTTAAGAGCTGCTTACCTCTGAAACAATATCACATCAGAGTGGTCACATGCAGAACATCAGCAACAAAAAAAACATGAAATTGAAACTGAAACATCCACTACTCGTTTAAATGTGAAATTCTTTGTAGATGTATTCATCCCGAATCACATATATCACAGTGGAAATTAAAGATATTGTGTACCTGTAAGAAAGGCGTTACAAGTACTGAAAACTTAAAACTAACTGAGCTTTACCTTCGGAGGGGTGAGCTTCTGTGCGTAAATGTTTAGGAGACAGAGGGGCTGCATACGGTGGAGAGATTCCAGAGAGACTGCGTTTACTACCCCGAGCAAGAGAGGGAGCGTCCAAAGCCTCTTCTTTCACTAGAACACAGAAACAAGGAAAAACACATTTTTAACACACTATGACAAGTGTATTAACACCTCTCAGGGTGCTGCGATTGGTCGGCCACCGATCGGTATCTGCTGATATTCCCTCTAATTAGTTTGATCTGCGATCTCTGTAAAAGCTGATCAGATGAGGCAAAACAAAGAGCTGTCACTCCTGAGGTGCAACTCACAACAGAGATGAGAAGGAATTAAGATTTCTCACTTTTTTCAGTAAATACATTTGTATTCTAACTTAGGTAATTATTTGATGACTATTTTTTTGTTTTTTTCCAGAGCTGATGGTGGAAATGTTTCTTTTCTAATCTCTGTTGAGAGTTGCACATGCACAATATTCATTAATCATGACAATGGCTGCATCATGGGCTTCTCCGGTCTGGCAGTTTTACCAGGTGTCTGATCACCATTTGCTTCTGTGTGATGCAAATGATGTGTTTGTGCTCTCGATTAAGCAGCAGATGTTTGTGCTCCACAGTATCACCACACATAGAGAGTGAAGAGAAACTTTAGGAAATGCTGTCTACGACTTATTCTTAATTATTTGAGCCTGCTTGTAAATTTGGTAAATTATATATATGAAGTTATTTTTTTCTTTATGTAAAAAACTGTTTTTTGCATTTGATCTTTTTTCTCTTTTTTTAACAAATTTCATCTTTGCAAATGTTGTATGTGTTTATTTGCATATAGAACTTATTAATCGCAAGTGGTCTACCTACAATATCTCTCAGTTTTAGTTTATTTTAAGACCTAATAAATAATGATTCTGAGTGGCTAGTTATTACCTGACTTGTTCCTGTCATAAGCAGTGTAGTGGCTGAACGGTTGGCTGCTGAACAGGTTGTCACATTGCAGATGACGACACATCGTCTCCAGGAACCGCAGCACGAAGGAAGCACTGGAAGCTGAAGGTAGTTTAACCACACGAACTCCACCATCTGTCCTCACTGTGAAGAAGGACGACACGTTTGAGAGCACCATCAATCATCTGTCACTAAAATGTCTTGGCTACTTGTACAGCCATCTGACAACTAGTGTGTGTGTGTGTGTGTGTGTGTGTACCTCTGACAATCTCTCCTCCTCCTGAGTGAGTCTGCAGAGCAATGAGCAGGACTTTGGGCTGGTACGCACAGTCTATACATGACTGGACCACCTGCTGGAGCACAGCGTTGACTGGCCCTGGGCCAAAGTGGTCAGGCAGATGCTGCATCTGCTTCCTGTCCAGGTGCGGACCACAGTTTCCATGCTTATTCACATATACACACACTGAAATGACACAAACATTGAACAGATTAGATTTGTGATATATGTGATACCTCATTAAGGGAAACAAACAACAATTAATCAATTTACCTGTTGAAACCACTGAGTTGAGACTGGGGGGGCTTTCCTGTGGAACCTGGATGCTGGACAGTTGTGTTGGACCCTGCAGAATCTTGGACTTTCTCTGAAGAGACACAAGGACATTTGTAGACACACAGACAAACAGACTGTAGAAGTCAAAAGAAGAGTATAGTACTGTTTAAGTTTGTATTTGCAGGGTCGCACCTTGCTTCCAGGTTTGGGTCCTCTCTTCTTGTGAGGCTGAGGTACAAGCTGCGTGTTTTCAGATACAGCTCTGTTCTGGGCAGCCGCTGCTTCTGCCACAGCTTTGAGAAGAGCAATGGTTTCGCTCTTGGGCCGACGGCCCCGTACCCCCTTTCTGACAGGCAAAGGGGGCAGAGGGTTGGGGAGTCTGTAGGGGGAGTGCATGGAACGCCTGCTGGGCTTGGAGGGTGATGCTGGGAGACTCTGCAAGTTCTTCGGGAGGGTAACTATAATCACAAAAAAATTCAGAAAATAAAAATGTCACTTACACAGAATCATACTGAATGTGGCTTTTTAGTAAACTAAAAATTATTTTATTGGCACATTCGGAAGAAGGAAAACCTTCCATGAATATAAAAAACAGGAAAATAGTGTTGGCATGGAGCAAGCAGTAGTTTTTGGTTCCAAGGATTAAACTGCCTTTGGACTGAAAATGCAGACATGTTCTCTGTGTCTGTTCAATGGGAGAGGATAATAAAGATGAAGAATGGTTTAGAACTTGTCTCATTACTGTGGAGTCTCTCCTGGCTAATTAGAGAGACAAACTGTGTCGTTATCTCTTGGACCGGTGACCATCGCACTGCGCTGTACTGCTGCTGCTGGCCAAGAGGAATGTCAAAGCAAAGAGATGGAATGGTGCCAATCTGGGTTTGGACAGGAGCAACTCATCACTGCAAATGGTGGAGGATGTGATGTAAATTATATCATACATATCAAATGAATCATATTCATTTAGGTAAATAAATGAATATGATTCCAGAGTTAAAGATCGGACACATCTGCACTTACATAGAATCACAATCTAATATTCACAGAATCCAGGACCAAAGTCTGTTCTGTGAATTCTGGTTTATTCTACAAATGACAAAAAAGCTAAGACAATCCAGGAAAACAAAAAGAGTAAAAGCGGAACGCACCGTGTTGAAAGAAAAAAGAAAACCCCACACAATGCAACAGCCCATTTACTTGGGCTGGTAAATATTTCTGTTTCTGTGTGTTCTCAGGATTCCTACACAATTCCAACACGCGCAGCAGTGTGCCAAATAATAAATCTTCATCCAAAACACAGCATGAGATCAAAACACAGCGCACAGTGACAGAGGAGCCGCAGTATGCAGACTGATCAGCATTAGTTGAGAGAGGGTGTGAGTGGTTTTCGTTTCCCCCTCCCAAACTCTTAGAGCTCGCACATGAGCAGGTAAACGCACATTTAAAAAGAAGAATAAAGCAGCTGTGTGTCATGTGTTCAGTGTTTGGTTATGTTCCCACTGTCCATCCAATCTTGTACACAAACGTAGTTGAGTCATGGCTGAGCAGCTTTTATATATACAGATTTTTCCATGCACAAGGGCTATGATGTGAGGAACATAAATCCTCTTTCCTTCCTCCCTCCCTCTTGTAATTCTGCCTGTTCCATCCCACCCACCTAAATACACATCCACAGGACTCTTTCGTGTGTCTGCAGAGTTTCACATGCAATGCACAGTATGTCTCCCACAGCTGTTCACTGACAGCTCCCGACACCAAAGTCTCTGAATGTCGCTGCAGTTTATCAAGAGGACCATGTTGAAACCACCATGTTGAACTTGTTACTGGGCAACCCAACTTTCTTTGACAGTGCAGCCATGGTGACAGGAGTAGAAATAAATCTATTTACATCCATATCAACTAATGTGCATATGAAAAGATGTAAAGTGAAAAAGAGCTAAAAGGAAGTTTTACTTAAATAGGAAAATACTAATCTCTTTGCCCTTTCACTAAGTTCAACTTTTTCTGGTTTAAACACAGTTGTTTAAAGTTTAAATTCTCTGGATTCCCGCAATACTTCAAATACAGAAATAGTAAAATGTGCAAACATGTGTTACATCACACAAGAGGCAGAATTTGACATTGAAAGACAACAAGTCCAGATGATTCATGCTAATTGTATTTATGTTGTTATAGCTGTGGGTACAGGTCTTTGGGGATGAACATGAAGGAAGCATGAATTAAAAACAGCAGCATCTGCCTCAAACTTCTCTGTATGCGCAGACCTGTGCTGCCACCTACAGGCTAACACTCACCACTGTTGCCTGGTGGCTGGAGACTGTGCTTGGTGAGGGAGCACCAGCCCACAGGAAAGATGTCCCGGGAGTCACACTTGCACCAATAATCGAAAGCGCCCCTCCAGCCGTCGAACATGATGAACACCTCATCGCCCCTTACTTCCCCAATGGTGGCAGGGCAGATGAGATATGGGTTCTTCTTGTCCACAGCCTCCAGCTTCATGCCTGGCTTGAAGTTGTTCTGGGGGGGCCTGGTAGGCTCCTGACAATGTGAGAAATATCCTCATTGCAGTAACCTGTACACACACTACTAATAAGACGGCAACATGTTTATGTATAAAGCTTTTTTAAGTATGTACCTTTTTAAAGGCTGATGCTGGGGCCATTTCTGCTCCGTTCAAGGTTCTCAACAGAAACATGGGCCATGAGGACGCATTCATCCGAAATCCTGGAGAGGAGAATTCAGTCAAATGAGATGAAATAGAAGAAGAAAATATTTATTGTCATACACCATGATATGTTGGATAATTTCTTGCGTTGTTAAAGAGAAACATGTTAATTTTCAGCATTAGTATCATTTTATTCAGGATGCTAACTGCACAGAATCGGACTAGGAAACAGAGCGTGGCCCCTTTCTACACTGGACAATAATGGGTATTTTTAAAATGCAAAATTCAGAGATAATTTATGTCAGAATTTAGATATTTATGAAACACTGCTGTTATTTTTGCGAGGTTGCCAAAATGAACCATTAAATTCTTTAAATCATTATATACTTACACATTCCATTTATTAAAGGATATAAACAAAACATTTCTGAATCCAAATAATGATAATAAAATGTCCTTCTCCTTCACATAAGACACCAAGCAGCCTTGTCCAAAGAAAAATTATTTTCTGTTATATCTAATCAGTCTGCAATCCATAATATAATTTTCTTACTGACATTTTCCAACCCTGATCACGGTGGTTCTATGGATACCTAATATTTAATTCCTTTCGTCCTCTACAGTTGAGAATAACTAAGCACTAAAGCCTATAAGTGACATCAAAATTGTGCTTCCATCCCACCATGCCTGACTCTTACCCAGTGGTGGCTGCAACATGTCTCCATTCTTCTCACAGGTGCCAATGGGCTGAATGTCAGAGGAATCTACCAGTCTCCAGAAATCATTGCTGTTGTCACTTCCATCCAGACGGAGACGCAGACGAACCCCAGTTAAACCCATCACTGTGGCAATGCAAACTGAAGTGGAATTGCGTGGGTCATGGGCTTCTAGCTTCATTCCCACTTTGAAGTCATTGGAGGGTGGAACTCCAGCCTGGAGACAATGTCATCATACATGTCACTGTTAGCACTTTACAAAACATGGCTGCAGCCAGGTTTAATTATGTTTACTACAAAATCTTTTATAGCATATAGTGGAACAAAGACACAGAACAAAGAACAATGTGCATTGTGTGAAGCTGTGCCCTTTTTGTAGTGGTGTTGCATATACTGTCATAAATAGAGAACATTTGAATAATCAGGCAAATAACAACAAGAAAATAATTGAGCCACTGTTACTCTGGTAACAACAAAACGTATAGGACAAACTTACACACACTCAAACTACAATACAAACACAGCTTTTCAAAAGTATGCCAGTGGACTGACTGAAGCATCCAATTTGACACACAGCATATTTCTATCTTCATGCAACTAGCCCTGGCTAAATACAAATTTAATTGAGAAGGACATACCTGACGAAAACAGCTTGGTGGAGCCGGTGAAGATGATGTTTCTTTAAGATATTCTTCCCAGCTGAAAGCATCTGAAGAAGAAAAAGTAAAAGTAAATTTCTAAAAAGCCACTGCAAGCCACTCCTTTGTTGATAAATTATTAAATAGCATCCAGTAAACACAAGTGAGCAGTATGCCACAGTATCATCCGCTACTCATGTATGAACTATGACATTATAAAGTATAAAAAGCTTAAGTCCTGCTCAATCTCTCAGCCTTTCCTTGGTCCACTAGTATCAGTCAGATGTGCTTCTTTTATTATATCAGTATGATGATTTTTTTCCAAGGTGAAATATGTGTATCTATGCTTAAACCTATTTTCAAAACAATTCTAGTAAAACATGGTGCAAATGTTATAAAGGTGGCAATACTTGGCACTCTACAACAATGGAATGTAATGTAACCTGTATCAAAAAATGACTATAGGGTTCTCTTGATGCCATAAAGTTAAACAGTTCTTAATGTATTGAATCAAAGTAATCTAAGCGACTCAAAATAAACACCTTCTCAAAATACCAATTACTAAGTTTACCTTTATTTGTTGCAGGAGTTGTACCTGTTTGTGGAACTGTTCTTCCTGGTTTCTCTTTTTTGCCATCTTTCTGATCTAAAAATGACAAAGGTGATAACAATTATGTTTTCAAGTGTATGAAAAAACAAAAAATATTCAAATGAAATAAAGATAAAACAAACAATTTTTCTTATGACATCAGACAAGACAAGGAACCTTCATCGGGAAAACCCAATTAAAAAGGGGAAGGACTCTCTTCCTATTGCCAAGAGAGGAGTCCGCCTTTCTGTTTTATTCCGCAGATCCTCATGTTTGACATCACAAATGCAACAACAACTGAGGGGCTCTCCAACCTTGCTGTCTTGCCAAATCAGCGTGTTCTACCGGGTGTCACACAGTACCAATCTGCCCATGTCTACAGCAGTCATCCATTCCCATTGCAGACAAAAGGCAGATGTTTGCAGTTGTTGGTGGGTTTTTGACCAATGGAGAAGGGTACCTGATTACACCTCTACTCAATACCCTGGGAGAATGTGAATACCTTTATTATTTGACATATACTGTGATGACACCACAAACTTCCATGCGCAGCTGCTGATCGTATAGAAGAAGAGTTGGTGAGTTTGGTCTTAATTAAATAGTATATTGAGGAAAATGGCATATTATTGATTAAATGGCTACAAGGGTACAAGATATGTTACATATGACCTCATTTATGTTTTTGAAAATTTTGCCTAAAAAATAGAACACTGTCTTTACCGAACAAAATCAAATGACAACACCCTACCTTTTAGCTGGGTTTTTCCCATGGTGACTGATGACCAGTGGAGACTCTTCAACAATGATGACCGATGGTGACACCTCTACAATGACAATCAAGGTGCGGGACGTCGACCCAGTATGCTCCTGAGTGGTTCTGTCCTAAAAATATCAAACATGAAAATATTCAATATGAAATGCTGTACACACAAATACACAACAAAACAGCCCTATAGATTAGTCGATTCAAGCATATGAGGTAGGATCAAAACTACAATGTTAAAAACACAAGGGCTTAAACATTCAATGTTCCATTTTCATACATTAAGTTGGGAACCAATATGTGAATGGAAATGTCAATAATACAAAAGCTGCAACTAATCACTTTTTTCCAAAGTTCATCTATCAATTATTACGACTTAGTAACTGACATATCAAAAAACAAGAGAAATGCCCATCACAATTATCCAGAGCTCAACATGGCATCATAACTTGGTTGTTTGGTCTAACCAACAGTTGTAGCTACAATTAGTTTGACATTTACAATGATGTAAGAATAAAACATACAGTTATTTAAGAAGTGGTATGTTGCAAATTTCACAACTATGTATTTTAGCTGAAGTACGCACAATTAAGCTTGCGGACGACAAAAAAAATACTTGTAAATTACATGAGCTACTGACTTTCTGTGAAACAGCGACTTATGGTATATATCAATGTCTGTGTAATATAGAAATTCACGCGTAACTGTGAGTGTTGGTTCCGTTTAGAAAGGGTAAGTAGCTCTGGAAATAACCTGCAGCACATGAAATCTGGAGGCCAGAGGCACAGTGATGCTATCAGGGAAGGGGACGTGGAGTGAAACCCATCACAGCCCTGTTCATGAGTGAGGTATTCCAGTAATGGACACTCCCCACGGAAACAGGAGGGCTGAAACTGGGTGGGTTTTTTTTGCTGGGGTTCCATACTGTTCCGGCCTGTGCTGGTGTACTGGGAAAGACCCAGTGACACTTAACTTTTACCAGGTTTCAGCAACATGCTAATGAGTCTCTCATGGCTCTCGTGTGGGAGAAGACTCGCTCAGAGGTGAGCTGGGTCAAATGAAAGCAAAAGTGTTGGGATGAAACAGGATGTCAAGCGTCGTCAGGTCAAACCACCTTTTACAGTCAAAACAGTAGCTTACTCAACGCGGTGACGGTAAAATGAGCCATGTTGGATGACTAATGTTGTTCCACAGAAGCTAACGCTGCCGTTTGATGAGCCACATTAAGGCTGACGTTGTACACAACGACTTGACCGCTCCGTATTATACCTAACGTCACATGAAAGCGTGCTCCCATGTCTGGAGACGAATATTTTCACACTTTCTTCTGTTATTTTCTTCTCCACTCGGCGTTTACTGTTAGCTGTTCACTGTTATGTCATCTCACAGCAGCCTTTTAATATCAACTTGCTTGTTACCAGCTAGCTAGAAACACAACGAGGTGTCGTTAGGTGTTATTTACTTTGTGTATTACGATATAATTAAGCAGCTATTATCATCACTATTTCAAAATGGTGCGTCCTTGCTATCGTGCGCCGTACTTGATGTGTGATATGAACACTCTGACGTTTCAGGTAATAGCCGGGGCCCAATGTTGACAACTGGGACTGCTTGATTTGCTAGCAACCGCTGCTGGCTAATAACTAGGTCGGCTAACCTTAGCGTTAATGTGAACCCTCTGAGAGCAGTTTCCTCCTTGTTATCAAGGAGAATTACACACAACCAGGGTCACACGGCTTCTAACCGCATTCTTCCTCAACTCTACGTTATTAATTCCGAGTGAAAAACTTACAAGTGCCGTCTGTTTTCCGACTGAAGATCCACTTTTCTCTATTCGTCAGCTGCCATTTTTCCACGAATGTAGTGTATTCTTACACGCATGTAAGTTATGCCAAAGATAGGGTTGAACAGAGAGCACGGGGGAGCCACGACGCGAGGCTGAGTCTGCAGCTGTAGTTCAATGGGCCAATGGAAGCCTGTGTTACTCACACCTACAGCCAATCGAGAAGAGGCTTGTTCGTTTTGTCCAATCAGCGCCGGGGCTGCTCGGCCTGTAAATTTTGGATTCCAGAAAGCAACACGAGTCGTCCACCTTCACTTTCTCTCGTCTTTACAGGGTCTCTCTCGTGCATCCCCTCCTGTGGTAAAAACGGATCCACAAAACATGGACATCCCGCTGAAACTCCATGATCACTGAGGTAATCAACTTATTACATGCTGCTAATCATACTGGAAGTAAACAAAGTACAACGTGAACACATTTAGAAACAGTATAATTGCTCAGATTAAATAGAAAATACTGAATTGCACAATTAAACATATCACTCTAATAAAATATAATTAAATTAAATTACATTTTTAAAATACGCTGATACTGTTATACATACTATCAAATTAAATCCCCAAACTTTTTTAATTAAAAGTCAAGACAATCAAAAATGTTGGAAAATTACAATTATAATTAAAAAAAACACAAGAGAAATATAATATCTCAAAGAAACCATGTTAGAGAAAGTTTTATGTCGGTTTAGTGTAAAAAGGTCACAACCTGATCACAAATACAATAGGAAGTTGTGCGTCAGCAGTAGTCACACAGAAAAAAGGTGACTCAGAATCATTGTCCTATGCTAGTTCTAAACCGATGGGTTTTCCCCTCCTACATTTTCCTATCAAGTTCATGTTATTATATGCTGTCAAACATATATTATCACTAATACAACAGGGTGCTGGTATAATTATTTGCAAATGACTGCAAGCTGAATGTACTGGCTGTTTTATGTCTCCACATAGACCAGGGAAACGCAGCAAAAATAATTAGCATTACAAAATAATTTGCCATTCTCTTGACAATTGCTGAGGTTCTGGTTTATCATTTAAGCTCTGTTATCCAGCAACAACTGGGTCAATGACACTGACTTACTGGCTCTTTAAAGCAGATTGTTCACTTGTTTTACAGTCAATTACAGGGTTTCTTATGTTTGTCATTTTCAAATTCTGTCTCTAGTGTTTCCTCCGTGGTATCTTCAGGAGTGTTGCAGGTGTGTGTGGGTGACAGAGCATGCTTTTGTTACTTGGGGGTGTTTCACCTCTGGTATGGGAGGCGTCTTTGACTCTAGCTGACTGGTGGGTGATTAAATAGGTTAGGTAAGACCCACAGCGATCAAATGCCTGGGACCCCCTGCAGGTTGGTTGGGGCTGGGGAGGCCTCTTGAAATGGGAGATGGGGCACAGGTGGGTTGGCTGTGGGCGTGTGTACATGTCCTGAAGATGAGTGAAATAGTGTTTCCTCAGTTACTGTTTTATCTGAATGTTTTTTAAATTCTTAGTGTGCTATTAAGCATTTGTTTTGTTTATGTCTGTGTGTGTGTGTTTATATGAAAAGTGCTGTATAAATAAAGTCTGATTGATTGATTGATTGATTGATTTATTGTAGTTTTTTATGTTATGATTAAAGATAACCAAGCTGGCAGAAAAACTATGACACGTTTCCAAAATCAGTTAGAAGACATATTTTATTCAATGGGGTTTTAAAACCAAACCAAACTGCTTCTTTACATCCATATGAACGCTTCATTATTATTTATGTCCTGAATGCAGGCATGATGGAAGTATTACCTTTCAGGTGCATCTTGATGTATAAATCAAAATCTTCTGGTTTCTAATGAGATTGCAACATGTCTCAGGTATTATTTACTCTAACTTTTCAGCCCAATCCCCAAAATAATGGCGTAAGATAATTGAAGCCCCTTTATCCCAAAGGATATTGATTTGGAGGGGAAAAAAAAAATCAACAATATGCATATGGTACCTGTGTTGCTATAAATTGACCTAAATGCAATTGTTGCTGTCACAAATCTAACATCTTTGGAGTGATATGGGGAGGAAGAAAATCAGATGGCTAATAACATACTTTGTTATTTTCTTAAATGTTTCGTAACAATTATTGGATGTATGTATGTACTTTTTAATTGTATTTATCATCTTGTGAATCCAGCGGTCTTGACCCCTAGTTTGGGAACCACTCCTCTGAGCCACTGACAGAATCATGGATGTTGGGGCTGCATCAGCTATTCTGAGATGGTTCATCTCTTTAATTATCATAGATATTCAAAGAAGTCTTACTCCATGCCACAATGCCTGAAGCAAACCTATTTTAGTTAATCCGTTGTAATGGATGAAATTAGCCGTTTCAGTTTTGGGTTCATCCTGTGGGTGGCAGCATTGTTTCATATGGTTATACACACAGTGGTAAATATATATAGATCTTGAAGTTTTTTTTTTATGTCAGTAGCTCTTATTTGGTCTGAATTAAATGGAGTTTATGGAGAAAAGGAACACACACATGATCTTATCATGAAGTTTGTTTTGCTTCGTGATCCTTAGAATTCATTCAAGAGGCAGGTTCGTACCTTTATTTTTCTGTCCATAATAATGTGAAAAAGAAAAGTCCATCGTACATTAGATGTACATGCACTTCTGAAGATATCTGATGCAATTTGTATGCCTACAAAGCCATACAGTAAAAATAACTTCTCATAACAGAATAAAATACATTTGTCAAGAAAATAAATTCAAACTCATTAAGTGATTAAAATGAATTTATGCATGGCATCCTCTGGGTTTATTCTATCATGTGTGAAATTATCTTCCTATTGGATGAATTTTACTGTTGTCAAGGGACACTTTAAACTCTACATCTCCCTTCCCATAAATGTAGCAAAATCGCATTGTTTCTCTAAGTAAAAGTGCGTAAAATGTCATAATAAGAATGATTCATCTCTTTACACAACAACCTACAGACAGGGGTGGAGTGAGAGCCCAGGACACCCTTGAGCAAGGCACTTGTTTCTCAGCTCGCTGTCAAGGAACTTAATGCTTCAGGTCAGCTATACTTTGATGTGTCTTTGATGTTATAGTGAGAGCGGGGTGTGATCTTGTGAATTATGTAATTGAGAAATTAGAACAATATTATCCTGCCTCATACAAAACACCCTCAGACCGCAGCACAGCCTACACACACGCCTTGTGGCCCGTTCTGCTCTCTGATTGGTCAAAAGCGAGGGGGCGTCGGCATAAACAAGCGCTCCGGCCTCTCTCATTGGTCCGCCGGCTCGCCACTCGGAGCTGTTGCCTGGCGATCCGCTCGCAGCTTGTCAACCGCACGATCCAGTTACTGTAGCTGCAATGAAAATATCTCCGCTGGTGGGTGGATAAACGGGCCCGGGTCCATCGTTTCCCACCAAACACTGACTGAGTGAGCACTTTACTTCATCGTGTCGCAGACGAGACTGTGTGAGCTGCTGCTTCAACGTGAATGTCCCTCCGAACAAGCCCGCGGCAGAGGCAGCGTCAACAAGCTTCAGGTTTGTTTTGGGCTAATTTGCGGGTTTTGTGTGTTTTGGGAATCGGGCAACGCAACGGAGCTAGCTTAATGTTACCGTAACTAGTCCTGCTTGAAGAGATGCTAACTGGTGAGGACTAAGTTAGCTTTGTGTTATTAGACTTGTTGGATTCATTGCTGCTGTGCATTGAAAATGTGGGAGCTACGTTCATTCTGTGGGCACACACACACACACACACACACACACTCACGCACACACACACACACTCACACACGCACTTGTGCGCACGCATAGAATTATGATTTCACAGACATTTCATTTCAGTTTCGTGTTTTGCTGTTTTTTCTCTATGTGAGAAAATTCTAAAATGAAGCAACAGGACAGGTGTGTGACAGAAATCTACATATACAGCAATTATTTCAGCTTTATTAAAACAAAGATGACAAAAAAAACCTAAATCTAAAATATGTAAGTCTATATTACAAAGGTAAATGTCTGATGGTTGTTAATGCTGCTCTGTCCTTGTGTTCCTCTCTTAAATATCAAATGTGGCAGTGATGTTGTAAAGCTGCGTCTCTTTTAAAATTCTTACCATTACGTTTTAGTGTGATGCATATGAACCTAATCTGGACGTAGATAACAGATCAATGACGGTGTGAGGAGGTTTAAAGGTTCTGTAATGTGAATTCCACCAACCCAGACCATTACCACGCATGAGTCATTCTGTTGATACAGACAAAATATATGATCCACAGCAATGCCCAGTGCATTCCTGATCATATTAGTCTTCTAGTTCCAGGCCAGGAGAAGATATAGTTGCTATAAATCTGCCGGGGAAAACAATGGTTCTGCGTGTAGGCTGTGAAATTATGAGAAGTGTGTTAACAGGCTCGTGTTCAAAAAAAGGTTTCAAACATTTTAATTGTCAGTGTTTAAGTTTGCCCACAGTATACCTGTGTTGATGGTGCGCAGCTGAGTAAGATAGGGGAGTAATAGACCACACAGTGATGTTAAGTGTTCTGGGAGAGAGTTTATTTTGGTTTCGAGGTTTTGCATACTGATGAGCAGCTTCTGTGCCCACAGCACCGTAGGAGACTGGGGAGTGTGAGTAGGCTATATACGAGTCCTTGAGCGCTCCAGCAAGGAGAAGATGAAATGGAGAAGTGGTATCTGGAGTCTTATCTGATTCAATAAGAGTAAAGAGTGTGTGGATACCAGAGGAGCCACTTAGATCACATCAAGAGCTTGTTTGTTTCACTCTGAGAAAAAAGGAAAGTTAGATTGTGTGAGGCACAGTATAGATCCCCTTACTACCTAATTTTACGTTAAAGGGTAAATTTGCTGATTTTGCACATTAATGTAAGCTTGCTCAATGGGTGGGTTACTACAGAGCCTGTGAAAACACACAACGTCGTCTGTGCCTCTGGATAGACTTTCTAACATCTAGAAAAATAAACACTTTATACTTAAGTCTTTTAGTTGTTGATCTGTATTTATAAACTGAAGGCATGGAGGAATTTTATGACAGGCAGGTTTGATCATTTTAAATTGCAGAGAATTGTGGGATTCAGCATTCTGAAGCTCGACTTATCATGACGTCTAAAGTCAGGACAGCTTCACCACTGCTTTTTAGAATAGGTTAACTCAAAGAGCTGGAGAAGCTGATTAGCAGTCCTGTGCCAATCAAGTCAACTGACCACCTCTCTTTAGCTGTCTCTGAAAATCTTAACAATAAATTCGTAAAGGGTATGAAATGTTTTTTTAACCTGTGGTTGGTAGACAACTGATGCACTTGACAAGTGAGGATAACACTGTATATATTTTAATTTCGTGCAATATGTTATGTGCAGGTTGAAGCATGCCACGACTGAAGGCATGTGGTGGATACTATGGCTCACAGCCGGCGCACACCTCTTTGGTGCCAACAGCTGGCCGGCTCACGCCACCCTGTAGCCAGGCCTCCTCCACCTGAGCTCCATGCACCTCAAGCAGTGAACCTTTTGATTTCATGAAGATCCCTGACATCGGTGATGTAATGAATAAATTTGAAGTCCTTGGGATCGTGGGTGAAGGTGAGAGTGCTCATTTACTTTTAATATAACAATGTGAAACAGCAATATTTTATGCGCACATCTGCAGCAGTGAGTCCAGTCCAGTCTTCAGCCAGAGCCTCTCATGTGAGGCAGCATGCTCACAAATGTGTTGTAGGGCTTTTCACTTTGCAATCATTTGGTTGTTTTTATCCAATTTGCCTGAGGAACAAAGGCTGGTGAAAGCTGATGTTCATGACTGAGCAAAACCATTGAGGTCAAGGAGACCTTTTGAAAAATATTTATCATTACAGAATTTTAATGTAACATGAAAAACTGAAAGTAGAGGCTGTGACCTGGATTCACACTCTTGTATTGTTGTAGTAAAAATAAAGAGGTAGTTTTGAAGTTTTTCAGTTTTATTGTTGCAAATGTCAGTGGAGCAGGGTGATTACATAGTTAAATCCAGCCAAAATGCCTCTCGTGGCTTTTCTCTTTCTTTGAGCTTCGGTTGATATAAAGTGGCAGAGGCCCTGAAGTGAGGCCACCCACTTGTCCCAGTTTCTACACCCCTACTCCCACAGCCTAGAAATGTTATAATGCAAGTATAATGTGTCAGTAGAAGACACAGGGAAACTTTAAGCTGATTTGTGGAAGCTGAGTGCCTGTCCAACGATGACTGTGTCTGGAAGGACGTCAGCACTTTTAGTGCCACATTAGTCTGTAAAGTCGTGGAAGTTTTTCAGTCCAGCTCTGCCTTTGCACTCATGGCACTCTGCGCTCCATTTGATTCAGCATCACAGATTAAAATGATCTTGAGGTCAGTCACTTTTGTTAATGATTCAGGACTGAGTGCTGCATGTAGCCTCATACATTATCTTATGTAACTATCTGCTTTTTCTCATCTAAGGAGGATAACAACAAAGTGATGTATTGTAGTCTTTGCATCTTTTGGCACATGGACTACAATTGATGCCGTTTTTTGTTCTTTCTTATTTGTTAAAATTAAAAGTGGGAAACAACCTAAATTTGAGAGTCAGTAGGCAAACAGCAAATATTTTTAATGCAACAAGGTAGATTACAATCATGGCATCCATGTTTTTTTGTTGTTTGTCTTATTTCTGTTAAGTAAGTCCATGGAATAAATGTGTATTAGCAACACATTCTCATTTTGAAAACAGTCACAACTGCATCAGGATAAACTATGTTAGAGAGAATGGAAATATTTTAAAAGCAGCATTTTCATTTGAGTAGCTGACTTCTTTTAGCACTGATGAAGGAGCACTGAGAACTTCATCATCTGCCTGCTCAGTTCAAGAATTTGTGTGTGTGTGTGTGTGTGTGTGTGTGTATATGTGTGTGAGAGAGAGACTGACTGCCAGGGTCAATAACTTCAGAACTATGGTAGCTTGCCAACACTTGTGTCCTACATTCTGAGCCACCTGTCCTTTTACAGAACAGTATGTTTTCCATAAATCATGTGAGACACATTTAAAGACCTTTTAACTTTTATTATATCAACATGCTGAAATAAAATGGGCTCTTTAGGTACTGGACTTGTTCGCACTTGTCATTATTGGTCAGCTCATTTCCTGGTGTGTTCATCATACATTGGAGTATTTAAACAGAATCTGAGCCGTCACTTTTGAGTATTTAATGAAGATCTGCTTTTAAGTCCTTCTTGAAAAGCAAAAGTAGTGAAAAATGAATAATCTGAATATTCATGAAAAGATTAGCTGTCGTAAATCTCAGTCAGTCATGCAGTTTGCTTCTTTTTAGGTGCCTATGGTGTTGTTTTGAAGTGCCGACACAAGGTAAGATCTTAAAAATTTTGATATCACCTCGTTGTTTATTGGTCTTTTCAAACCATTTCAGTCATCTGTTGTTTTACAAGTGCATATCTTGTTGAATCCTTCCTCATTAAGGAATGAAGTTTGTTGTTATCGATACATTTTTCTCATATTTCATGAAAAGGCCAAAATGAACAGTGTATCAGTTTTACTAATGAGGGCTGTCTGTATACGCACAGAGTTATATAGTTCCATAGAGCTCCATTGTCTAAAAACTATTATCAGCTCATAAACAAACCACGGTTGCACCGATGTCATGTTTGTTTGTTACAATAAACTCAGGCACTGTAATTTATTTGGAGTAAATCCTATTTATACTGCTCTGCTGCTGTAGATGCATACGATAGAATCAAATATGAATTAATCATTGACTGAAAATAGTCCCCAACCAAATGCATTTTTCAGTCACAGCTGTTTTGGGAAATTATTTAACATGTTTAAAAAACTCTAACCATTTATTCCCGACCAATGAAAAGATTTACTGTTCAATAAGAGTTTTGTTGTGCTGAAAAAAAAAACCAGGGAAGTCAGAGTCAGACAAACATGTTGGTTTTAGTTTTGCTGACAGTAACAAACAATAGACAATAGCCTTATAGAGGTTGTATTGTCCTGTGCATTTATCTTACAAAAGATTTAGCTACTTTCGTCATTAGATCAATGCTTGTTGGAGGTTGAAGATATAATTTGTAACTGTATGAATATGTTAAGTTAAATATTTTGTTAAGTAGTATATCCAAATTATCCCAAATGTCAGAATCTGTGATCTTAATCCAGGTAATGGTCCATTTGATCTGATTACCATCCTGTCCGTTTCATGCACAGAGCAGTCTTCTTCCAGTTTTAAGCCACCTTTTTATGAAGCACCTTTTAGATCTTGGTTGATTTTTAACATTTTAACTGGATGAAGGATTTTAGTCCTCAGACTTCTGACTTCTAACCCTAACCCTCTGAAGTTATCAGAGAATAAGCATAAGGAAACATTAGCAGCAGCTGAACCTGCAGCCCCTCCAATACGTTTTGTGTCTGTCGAACAGCCTCAAATAAAACTGATTTTTTAAATAAAACTTATGTACTCAGTGTTTTCAGCAGACACATTATAAATACCTGGTAATTAGGAGAGTTAGAAGTATTTGCAGATAATTAGGCTCCCAGTAAAAACCTCCTGAACCATTAATACTGAAAGAATACTAACTGGGAGAAGCTGACTGCAAAGACAGTAAGACAACAACTCCCATAATGCTACTTCATGACATCAACAAACTCCGTATTTTCTCAGGGCCCTGTCACACATACGCAAAGAAGTAAATGACTTGAGTCAAAGTTCACCAAAGTTGAACTCCACATGAAGCGACAATGCAGGCTCCCTCTTCGCAGGGAGCAAATGTTTTATTTAGCTTCCTTGCTCGTACATATTGGAAATTAATGGAACATTTGTGTATGTGTGACCGGGCCCTTATTGTTTTGAATAAAATATAGCAGCAGATCCGCAGCAGCATTAAGGAAAGATCTGTAGAACTTCAGGGAACATCAGAACAAGATGCTGTAATTTTTTAAAGGTAATTTTAAAGGTAGTCATCAGGCACCCAGTCAATCCACATGACTTACTGCAGTGATCCTGTGCCTTAGACTTAATGTGATGCCTTAAGTGCCTCCTACGAATTGCAGCACAATTGGTTACAGTCCTTTTTGTCCTGACTTGTGTTCATCAGTGTGAAAGAGCTGCTTTGAAAGGTAGCACATTTTTCAACTCAAATTCTTCCACTGCTCAGTGTTCTATCATGTAAACATGGCTTCATTAGGTTGTCTCGACGTAATTATATTTTTAACACAAGAATAAGCAAACCAAACCAAAAAACAGGAGCAGGCCTGTGAAAGCAGTCGACTGACACTGCAGTAAAACCCTTGTCATCTCAGTCCTTTTAAGGAAGAGGCTTTGCAAGGAATTGACATCAATCCAGCATGAATAGGAGAGACTAACATCCTCCTACTTACAAAGATCTGCAGGAAAGAGACAAAACACTTTCTGAGCCTCTCTCATCAAAATGCTTGACGTTTTTTTTTGTTCTGCAATTGCCGTGCATCTGCCTTCATTATGACGTTGATTGCAGCAATAACCTTGTGTCCATTAGCCACGTTTCTAACGCCAGCCAGTTAGCCTTAGTGTTAGATTTGTTAAAGACAGCAGCATCAAGACTGGATGTTGAGGCAACACTGGCAAAAAGCAGAATGCCCCCCCCCCCCCCTTTAAGCTGGAATCACAGCCTGTAATTACTGAGCTTTATTATGGAGACTGATTGATCCCATTCACCGGCAGCTGCAAATGCCAATGTCTCCATTATATACAATAGAGCTCACATCAGTCAACTTCAGATAGGTTCTTCACAACAGATGGAGGCTGGTGCATTGTCTGTAACACTCGCTGTACTGTTTATTTATTTGTGTGAAACCTCCACCAAAATCATCACCATGATTACAGTATTCAAAGTACTGAGGAAATGATGTTCTTCGATTGTTATTCTTTTCACAGACATTTATGTTGGAAATGTTTATCAGATTTAAATTAAAGCATGTTTGATACGTCAGTAATAATATTGGCCAGCATTACCATGTCACAGACATGTACGGTATGTGTTGCCATTGACATAGTGGATTTGTCAGATGAACAGTTTCCCTCAGATGTCGGAGTAGAAGAACTAAAGCTAAAAGGAAATCAGTTAATCTGAGTTCTTCTATAACATCACTTGCACATGAAAAGCATGACCATATTTTTTGTTGTTTGTCAATTTTTACTTAAATCTTTTAAATTGATGCAATTTATTAAAGAACAGACATAATTAGCTAAAATCATTGGCCTTTTTTCTTGATCCTAAAATATCTTGAATCAAGTAACAGGCGTGTATGTGTGCAGCAGTAATCATGTTAACAGTGCTGTATTTGAAGGGATCATTCACTTACTGTTTCCATTAGTTGATTTTACTTTAGTATATAGAGCTAATTTGAAACGTCTTTTTTAATGAGATACTATTTATTATTTCCTTGTCATATTATAAACTCCCTCGAGATCTGACATTTGACACAATCTCAAGTCTTTTGTGTGTTGGAAATTCAATAATATGCCTCTTAGCTTGAATATCTGTTCGTAACTTTATTGGTAGACGTGAAAGCACAGGAGGATGAATTCTCTGGCTGCAGATCAATATGGACCAGTGCCATCTGGAAAATATTGTATTGTTAGTGTGAGTGAACCAACGCAGGTTTTTTTTCAAGAGCTAACTCACAGATCTATGCTGCATAATTGTGTGTGCACAAACGCACACAGACGCAGGCACATAGTCAAATACACATGCCATGCACAGATGCACACTCATAGAGGCACACATGAGCTGACACTTGGAATCACACAAATGTTTGATGGTGCCGTGACTATTGGAAGGGAAGTGCTCTGGCCAGAGAAAATGGCTGCATTTGCATGTAACAACTGCTGCCGAGTCGCAGCTGCTTGTGCTCAGAGAACATGCTCATTTCACCGGAGACACGCCCCTCGAATTTGGGTTATACAATACATGTATTTAACAGGAATAATTAGTTCCAAGAAGGATCTAGGACCAAATATAGAAAGGATGGAAACAGATACTAGTGCATTCTCCCATTTCCACACAATCATCAGAATCTCAGATGCTGTATAGGCTAATTATGTTTCTAGCAAGAGTTACTCTCTGTATATATTGATACAGGAATTATAAATCCTACAAAATAGGTCACCGCATTTGCATTTGACCCTTGTGGCATGGTTAGAGGACTTATTCAGTGCCAAACTTGGATAAGAATGATGCCGTGCTTCCTGGACATGCAACAATTTAATTGTCTTCTAATGCTATTTCTTAAAATATATTAATTGATGATTGTTGATCCACAATGTGCTTGTGTTCATGTTTTAAATTGTTAGCAGCCAGAACTCTCTCTGTAAATACCATTCAGGCAGATAGGAAGAAGGTATATACTCTGGTTCAAATATCTAGTGACATCTTGTTTAATTAATTAAATTGTTCAGTCAAACAAAGTGACGACATGAATGTAAACATCAAGTTTGTGTAACATATTAGGTTTGATGTATCAGCCCCACATTGTTAGCTGGTACCCCATAGGAACAGTTTATGTGTTACCATCTCTTTCTAATGTTTTTCAATGCCCAAGCTTTTAGTCTTGCGCCATTTTGCCAAAGCTCAAAAGAGGGTAACCACACTGAAACTACAACATGCTGTTATGTCAGAAGGGTCGAGCACACAGGGGCACAGAAAAGCTTTTGTCTTGTAGTTCTGGCTCATCCTTTATTCATTTCTTGTCTAAATAAATGGATCAGAAAGAGAACATGTTTGGGTTCACTTATTCTTTTTCGTACCATTCTCTAATGTAAATACAGTGTTTTATTGTGGTGTATTGACAGGAAATGAGGGGAGAACCACATTCTTGCTGGCCTAAAACATGGTTAACATGACACTGTTTTGAGTTGAATATGACTGTTGGGGCTTACGGACACTTGAATGACACCACAGGAGAAGTATAGAGTTTTTTTCTGTTGTTTCATTACGTTTGAAACAGTTACTTTGGTTGTATTAGATTGGACTGCAACACTGTTTAGCCCTGAGACTCCAAAGGGGTTTTGTGGACTCAAACACTTCACCCACCCCTCCATTGGCATAATGGTGAGTGGATAATAAGTGAATTTTCATTTTTCGGTTAACTTTCCCTTTAAGGGCTGAACGTCCCTCTTTGTGTAGCAGAGTGCAACAAGTGCAACTGGCAGGAGAGACTGTCTGAGTTTGTCCATTTTCCCATGCTGACATTTATCGTGATGTTACTGAGTCCCTCCCTCTCTGATGGCCACTTTCCCACCCAACCTTTTGACTTTTCCTTCTGTTTATGTTGTACAAACATGATTTTCAGCATACCGCAACCTTTTACAA